TTTAATGTTCTTTTTAATTCTGAATTTTATATTTTTTATTATTTTCTTTCATTTATTTTTTTATTTTTTATGTAATTCAGTTCGCTTAATTTTACGAGATTATACATTATTCTATTATCTTTTATTGAATGTTCTAATATATAAATTTTTGTAGGATGGAGTACCATCTAGATGTTGAGTTAAGACATCTGGTAGGAAAATGTATTTGAAATAGTAGCTTTGATAATTTCACTACTGTATTGGAGTTGCTGGATGATCAGCACGCAAATATCTTACGACAGTCCCTCTTATGGCCCCTGTATCAGTTGAGAGAGGTACAGTACTATGAGAAAATCATTGATGCTTTACTATGTCGACTGTTTGGGCTAGTGTAATAAGGAGAACATAAGGTTTTCACTGCAAGGTCTCTATACATAGCCACCACGACTGCGTGCTCACATGGAAAATTCTCCAACTAAATCGACTACAAGTGCCGGTGTTATCAGTCAAATCCACCATGTATGCTATATACGTGTACATTTCACGGAGAAGTGCAACTCATCCAGTAGTTTCACATTCAACTTTTATCTCAACCTCTGCAGCCTTGAATCTTCCTAAGTCGGGGCTAGCATGCTCGTGCAACTCTGTGATTCCGTATGTCAGTCATAAAACCACTGTTGGAGTTTGTTACAAATGTTCTCGATCATTACGAGGATTGGTAACTTTCATTCCTTCTTGAATAATGCATTGAGAGACTTCTCATTGTTTGATGTCATCATGTTGTATCGACGTTGTGAAAAATGTGATCGAGCCCAAAGTTCAATCCCCATGTTTGTTAGATACTCTCATGCTGGGAATGATTTACTTCATATTTCTACCACAAACTTATTACACTCTTAAACAATGTAAGTTTAGGTCATTCTCCTAAACAACGAAATGATGTCTTTGCTTCGATACTTAGTCTTCAACTTGCCTTGTATATGGTACATGCAATAATTTTGATGTACCTCGAAAAAAACTTCAGCGACACTATTTATTTATAGACGGTCCCCGATCAGTTAAAAAGGCAAAGTCTTTGACTTCTTCGATTACTTCCATCAACTTTGTAAAGAACCAAAGTATCAACACATCATTCTCGCTATCGACTATGCTGAATGCAAGAGGATAAATTTGGATATTGGGCATCTTGACATGTAGTAATAATTAACTTGCCTTCGTATCTAGCTTTTAGAGTTGTATCATTGACTAGAATTATGGATCGCATTACACGTCGAAATCCCCGAATACATTGTCCAAGAGCTATGAAGAAAAATTGAAGGCAATTATTGCCCCTTGTCTCAATAAAAAATGTCGAGCAAGGATTAGTTGTCCCCATGTTATGGCAATAATTGGCCAATTTAGCATATCTCTCCTTGGCCAAGCTTATTAAATTCTCCAACACGCATTATTTGGCCTTCCAGACCTTCGATAGCTCATGACCACTCTGTACTCTCGACGGAGGTCGTTAATGATGTCTGAAGGTCTGTAGATCATACATGAGTCCTGATACTTATACATTATCTATCGACCAATTCACCATGCTCGTGCTTGCCTATAATCATTTCGACGAATTTCCACTTCGCAATTATGTTCCCATGTGTACTTGTGGACTAGAAATAATTCATTCGTGTTCATGTTCGTTGTTCACAAACGCCAACGACAACTGTCGTCGACTCAGACAATCGTCAATAATGACTTGTTTGATTTCTTCACTTTGAACTCAAAGTTATATTTCAGTACAATTCGGTGCACAACTCCCTGTAAATCTTTCTTTGTTTCAAATCGTTGCTTGACATACAAATTCTCATCATCGGGAATCACACGCGAAGAATTAGATGACAGTCTAATCGATCCAACCCTTGCGCTCCTGACCCACTCATGTCTCTAACGTGATAAAGCAATCAAATCCTCATTTGTAAATTCATTTTCATTCTCGTTGTCGTCAACTACCAACGAAATTCTATGTGTGATAGCGAGATCACGATGATGAACAATTGTATAAAAATAAACACATCATTTTCACGAGCTATCTCCATGTGTCCCAAAAATCATTGGCATTGTGATCTCATCCATCTAAATTTTTGTGTTCACCTTTGGTGACATTCTTCCTCACTAAAGTCACGCAAAGAGGAGACGTGTGCATTTTGTTCAATTCAAATAGATAATTCACTTCACCATCAGAAGTAACCTTCATAGGTGGAATCGAAATAGATGAATGCTCGTTGAATTGAAATCTCAGTTTCATATTGTACTGAGATGGATCAACTTTCAACTTGTTTTGTAAATTATGGTACATTTTCGCATATGGTGTACTCGATGCTATGAAAATTGGAATACTACCACGTATATCACTCGTCCATTTTCATACACATCGATATTTTTCATTCATTTCGAAATCACCAAAGTAAAAAGTTGGTATTACAATCATATTTGTACGATGAAACATAATTCTTAATTTTAAGAAGAAAAAGTAATTGGCCCAACTACTAGATAATTGAATTTAAAAAATAAAAAAATAAAGTCCTAATAGCCCAGCTGTTAACCAGCTGTTAAACTGGCCGGAATCATTGCAATGAATACATACATGCAGATGAGTTTTTTTCTTGTTTATACTTAAAAAATTATAGATCTATTAAAAAATATATCTACATGTTAATCTATGTCGAAATAAAATTTGTCGATAAAAAACATATACTAATTTAACGAAAATGAAATTAAATATACATAAATATACTTTTCGATTCAAAGTGATAGATGTAAAAAAAATTGTTATTCAGCATTTGATCAATTTATGAGATTTTGAGGTTGAAATAAATGAAAAATGAGAGTTTTTATCTGTGTTGGAATAAACAGATAAGAAAAGTTAGCTGATTTTGAAATTTTAAGTGAAAAGTGTTCGATTTTTACTTGTTAACTAAAATTGTAGTATTGTCTTTTAAATAAAATAATATTTTGAATCGATAGATGTAAAAAAAATTCTTATTTGACATTTGATCAATTTCTGAGATTTTGAGGTTGAAGTAAATGAAAAGTGAGAGAGTTTTTATCTGTGTTGAAATAAACAGATAAGAAAAATTAGTTGATTTTGAAATTTTAAGTGAGAAGTGTTTGATTTTTACTTGTTAACTAAATTGGTAGTATTGTCCTTTAAATAAAATAATATTTTGAATCGATAGATGTAAAAAAAAAAATTCTTATTCAGCGTTTGATCAATTTCTAAGATTTTGAGGTTGAAGTAAATGAAAAATGAGAGTTTTTATCTGTATTGGAATAAACAGATAAGAAAAATGAGCTGATTTTGAAATTTTAAGTGTGAAGTGTTGGATTTTTACTTATTAACTAAAATGGTAGTATTATTTTTTAAATAAAATAATATTTTATAAATGTAGTGTGTAACATCTTTGTATTTTACTAGGGGTGAACGCGATTCCATTTGGTGCTATATTTTCAACTCAAATCATTTCATGCGGTTTGAAATTTTTTTCAAAACAAGGGTTGGTTCTGTTTTAATCCGCGGTTTACCTATCGACATTATAATAATATATTTAAAATAAGTTAACATATAAGTTTAAACGAGAATTAATAATATTAAATATTAAATTACTTCCATCTTTCCGACGAAACTCGTGAATAAATTGTTGTCAAAATTGGTTGCTAAAAGATGTTAATAGAACGGATATATATTTCTTCCTTTTTATTTATCTTTTCTTGTTTGCCTTTCATATTGTCATATAGTGGTTGGTAAAGATATAGCCACATTCTGCTATAATAGTTTGGTTAAACTCCTTTCATCCTACTAGTGATATGAAAAATAAGGATTGAACATGATATGTTTAAATGTACAAAAAGTGATAGAATTTAGATTTATTGGAAATTGACAAATTTTATTCTCTAACGACTTTATGAAAGTAGAATGCAGTGGTACTAGTTAGGGAACTTTAACATTTTCAGATAATCAATACGCTCTATCTTTCGTTCTTTCTAAACGACAAATAAATTCATTAATCACTTAAGCACACAAATAGTCATTTTTTAATTCAAATCACAACACACAAGTGTATAATAAATTTTAAAAAAAAAAGAATAATGAAAAAAGTGACTTGAATGAGAATCTAAAACTTATCAAGAAATGAGAGAAATTGTGATTCAAGTAGAAATTAACATACTAACAAGCAAGAGACACTAACGATTTGCGATTGTGAATCGCATTTTGTTTAGTAGTGGCAGACAAACGTCAAATGTTCGAGAAATAAGAGTTTATGTAGCTTCTAAAGTTGTAGGCATGATTTGCTGTCGTAGTTTTGTTGTATTATGATTTGAATTGTTGAAAATAATTTTTTTTTTTTTTGTCATATGATTTGTAATTAATTTTAGTTTAGGTTAGATATCGGGTTACGACGTGTGTTGTGGACTTATAAAAATATCAACCAATAATGATGAACTTAATTTACTTTATATGATTATTTTAATGAGTTTGTTATAATTTGTATTGTTACATTGATATTTTTTCTAAAAAGTAAAAATTTTAAAATTGGTAAGTTAATAAAATTAATTTTTAATTAAAAAATTAAAAAATGGTTCGTTTCGATTTTATGCGGTTTTTGAAAATTGAAACTTAAACTAAACTATTTTGAAACGATTGGGTTCGATTTAAAGGAAAAAAAATCGCGGCTCCACGTGGACCCGAACCAACGATTTCAAAATAACAGTTTCGGTTCGATTTGCGATTTCAAGATTTTTTTGTGTAGCCCTATATTTGACCATTCAAAAGGTGATTATTAATTTAGGAAATTTGATCAAGTCAATTTTAAAAGGACCGTTCCCAATCAACTCTTACCGTATTTCGTTCGTTGCCGCAACAGAGAGACCTAAACCCTGGGTTGTTGTTTCTCTCACAAGAATCCTCCGCCCTAAGTCGGCACACCTCCTCCTTCATTAGAGCTCTCTTCGACCCACTTATAACCCAAATCCAGGAATCCGTCATGGCATACCAACCTCGAGATCCGAATAGCGACGAACACGATTCAAATGGCCGACTTTACAATCCATATCAAGATTTGCAAGTCCCGACCAAGATGCTATACAAGCTCCCAACCTCCCCGGAGTTTCTCTTCCCGGAGGAATCCCGCGCGCAGCGCCGCTCTTGGGGCGAGAATCTCACCTACTACACCGGAATCGGTTATCTAGCCGGCTCCTCCGCCGGTGCCGCCAAGGGCTTTATATCCGGCGTCAAGTCTATAGAATCTACCGACACGCTGAAACTGAAAATCAATCGGGTCCTCAACGGGTCGGGTCATACGGGACGCCAGATCGGGAACCGGTGTGGAGTAATTGGCCTTCTCTATGCTGGAATCGAGAGCGGCATGGTGTATTATAGGGATACTGATGATGTTATCAATAGCGTGGTGGCTGGACTTGGAACCGGAGTGCTTTACAAGGCTGCGTCTGGGCCGAGGTCAGCGGCTGTGGCCGGGGCAATTGGTGGCGTGCTAGTTGGGCTCGCGGTTGCTGGGAAGCAGGCGTTAAAACGATATGTGCCCATTTGAGTGATTTAAGCATTAATCTTGCAGTGCTTTAGTTTTGATTATTTCTTTATCAATTTGATTATTTCTTTAATATCAATGCTTAAAGGTGCATTTTTTATGAAATATAAAGGAATTATTTAGTTTGTAGAAGACGATGGTTGTGAATAAATTTTGAGAAAACCTTGATGGTATTGGCATGGAATAATTTTCTGCAATGTTGTATGTCTTTTTTCCCATCTAATTAGACCTGTTTGGCAGGACTTTTGAAAAGTTAAAAGCTGCTTTTGAGTTTAAGAAGTTGCTTTTGAACATACTTGGCTAATTTTCTGGATTTGTATAGTCTAGCTAGAGGAGCTTTTATAGGAAGTTGACCTAAGATAACTTCTTGAGGTTTCTCTTCTAAGTAGAAGCACTGCCAAACATGCCTTAGTATTGCACATACTATTTGCCTTTGGAAGTTTAACTCGTGTGTAGATAAAACGACCCGTATAATTTGTACTTACTTTTAGCTTCTATGCATATGATATAATGTAAAAATATATATTTCGTTGTTTGCCAAATCTTTTGTGTTAGACTTGTAGTTGTAGCTTTCAATGAGTAAAAGGATCTGGTGTAATGTGACACAATGGTACAGTTCTGGTGCTGGAACTTTGAAGTAACTGCTATACCTGATACACTGAGCGTTTATGTTTTAACTTGGAAGCTGCTATGCTCATCTTTATTTCACCTTAACAGGCTTTGTATATGATTTTTGCATGTTACTTGTGATTCTCGTGAGTGTTAATGCTTTTGGTATAAATGTGGGTTACTTGACTGGTTTGAAGTGCTCGTGTTGGAGTTCGAAATATACATCTCTAAGCGTCTGGTGAAACAATGGTTATTTTATCGTAACTGTTAATTGTCTAGTTTTAATTGAATCAAGATCTTGTGAAAAGACTTCAGTGGCTCTTACCCAGCAACTTTTGATCAAGTCCTATTGAAATGCTACAATCGTGCTGAAATATCGTTCAAAAATCTTGTAAACTCGGAACGATGAAATCATTTGATCTTTCGCTGCCATCCAAGCATGAATACCATCGTTTAATAGAACATTTTTGGTGCAGGAAGTCTCAAATTCATGATCTTCCGTTGCTATTTTATGATTGATCTCCTTTTCGTATCATTCGACTTGTTGCGGCAAAAGAGAAGTTTGGGAATGACTAAATGATGTGAAATGGTTTCAAATCCTTGCTGAAAACAAACTATGTAGAAACAGAAGTGATGAATCAAGAAAAGGTACACAATGATAGACAAAAAAAAAAATACGACATACTCCCACTCTTTGTTGCTTCAAATAAGAAATCGGACTAACAATATAGCCTTTCGTGATGAACCAACACACTTTATGAGATTCAAAAACTTACATCGTCCTCATATACTATGATTGTTGAATGAATTTATACTTCGTCTGATAAAATATAAGGCCCTATTTGATTTGGCTCTCTTTTATATGGAAGATGGAAATTAAATTTAATTTCCACATTTTTGCATGTTTGATTGACTAAATTTTCCATGGAATTGGTTTTCCATGTTTTCTTGATTTTTAAGGGAAAGCTTTTTTCATAGGTTTGGTGGGAAAAACTTTTTTAGGCAACCTTTTTTTTGGCAATGGAAACAAATTTTATCCCCAATTGTAACAGATTATATCCCTTTAATTGACAATTTTTATGAAAAATAAAGTTAAACGAACATTAAAAGATCCAAAATTTCATTATTTTTCTGGTGAAAAATTATACCAAATTAATTGATAATTTACAGTAAAACAAGTTCTAGTCAATTCAATTCCCTAAAATTCATTTTCTTTCCACCCAATTCAATTTTTGCAATCAAATGGACTCTAACATCCATGTCTATTAAAATAAATACATTTTCAAAAGAAAAAAGGAAAGGAAAAAAGGGATAACTATATCATATTGCAAAGTGGAATGAATTTATTAAGTAGGGGCATCAACTAAGTCTAATGAATTTATTAACATTTATGGATTCTCATGAATTTTATGGAATTGAATAAAATTCCATAGAATTCGTAAGGTTTTAATAGAATTCCATTCTATAGATTTTAATGGATTCAATGAATTTCAGTGGATTTTTACGATTACGACAAGATGATATACTCCTTCCGTCTCATTTATATAGATTGGTTTTATTTTTTCATACGACTTAAGCAATCATATTTAATATTATTGAAAAATTAATTTTTACCAAAAAAAATTCTAATTTATTCTTATATAATTATCAACAACTAGTAGTAAATTACTGTTGGTAGTAAAGAAATAAGGGTATATTAGTAAACGAACAAAACAAAACATTCTCAATAAAGAAAAATAAAGAAAGTTAGCATATATAAATGGGATGGAGGAAGTAACTTCTTAATAGATCAACGGCGAAAAAAAAAAGAAAAATTATGACTTTATAATTAGAAATAAAATTCGCCATCTGATCGTTTATTATAGATAATTTATGAACTTGTCATTTAAAAGAACCATTTTCATCGATCTACAAAATTAAATAAATAAATATAAATGGATTAAAAATTTGTTCCATCTCAAAAATTGAACAAAATTACAATACAAAAATATCAATCTAATAAAAGTCATGACTCAACAAATTATAAGTAAGTGATTCAGTTCAATTTTAAAAATAAAATTGTTTTAATTATGGTGTCGAGAATTACATAAAAATTATGCATTAAATATTTTATGATTAAGGACATGTTTGGTTATCAACAGAGTTTTGAAAAATAGAATGAACTAATTCAGTTTTCGTTCTTAGTTGTTTAGAATAGAAACTCAATTCCAGATTCCAATAGAAACAAGAATTCAATTCCACATTTCCTTTTCTCTCCCACTTTGAATTTCGAAATCAAAACTGAAATACTATTTATTTTTATATTTTTATTTATTAATTTATTTCTCTCAAAGGTATAAGATTTTGCCTTTATTTATGTGGACTTGAAATCTATTGAAATTTGAGCAGTCAGGCTTGAATTCCTGAAGTGTTTGATATCTTTACTTAAGGACTCAAAATCCACTCAAAATGTATTAAAATCTTTTCAATTGTGAAAGAGTAATGTTATTTAGTGCTACTATGGTTATAACCTCAGTCTATGTAGTGTTAGGTAGGGCTGTAAATAGATCGGATATGAACCGAATTTGTCTATATCCAATTCGCTCCGATCCGATAAGAATAACTATTTGATCCGATAATCTAACGAATATTCGATTATTAAATTCATATCTGTTTTGCTATGTTATTGGATATTCGATCCGATAATTCGATTCGATATTAAAGAAATTAGGCCAAAAAAAAAAAAAATGTTGGAATCACTTTTTATTTATTTATTTTTCCAATTCTTAAACGGGTTTAATAATTATAAAATTTTCAAATTTTTTTTATGTTTTGAATCTGATGAATTTTTTATTATAAATTTATTTATTTTAGTCACAAGTAATATGTCATAAAAATATTTTACCGACTCAACTATTTATAACAAATCGGATCGGATTGACTTGTATTCATATTTGATCCATTTAGTTAACGGATTATCGGATTCGGATCTTAATTGGATTATCGGATTGAGACTCTGAATCCATCTCCCATTAATTTCATCGGACTCAGATCAAAATTCAATCAATTGACAGCCCTACTGTTAGATGATAAGTTAAATGATAAGTGAAATTACCACATTAGTACCAGATAGATGGGAGTTGAAATTCCAGTAAGACAAAATAACATTATTTATTGTGAAACCCTTAGAAGTCCACAATTTGTTGAGTACACCTAAATTTTAGAATAATCCTATCTAACACAAAAGATACTAAAATACCAATATAAATGTAAGTATGTGATATGTCATAATAAATGAGTTATAAATTATTATATTTAATTGAACCTAGAATTTAACGACACTGTGGACGCAATTGAAACGGTGTTAAAACAATAAAATCTTAGTTGGACACAGCTAGATTTTAGTTGAATTCATTTAAATATGAGTTGGCAACAACTAAATTTATAGAGTTTTTTCGACTTTTTTGACCCTTAACCCTATTCCTTTTCCGGGTTGATATCCGGGTCTATTTTTAAAATATTGGTTGAAATCAATTTTTTTTTTTTTCAAATTTTTCAATTCTTAAACATGTTTAATAATTATAAAATTTTCAATTTTTTTTATGTTTTGAATCTGATGAATTTTTCATTATAAATTTATTTATTTTAGTCACAAGTAATATGTCATAAAAATATTTTACCGACTCAACTATTTATAACAAATCGGATCGGATTGACTTGTATTCATATTTGATCCATTTAATTTACGGATTATCGGATTCGGATCTTGATCGGATTATCGGACTGAGACTCTGAATCCATCTCCCATTAATTTCATCGGATTCAGATCAAAATTCAATCAATTGACAGCCCTAGTGTTAGATGATAAGTTAAATGATAAGTGAAATTACCACATTAGTACCAGATATACGGGAGTTGTAACTCCAGTAAGACTAAACAACATTATTTATTGTGAAACCTTAGAAGTCCACAATTTGTTGAGTACACCTAAATTTTAGAATAATCCTATCTAGCACAAAAGATACTAAAATGCCAATATAAATGTAATATGTCATAATAAATGAGTTATAAATTATTATATTTAATTGAACCTAGAATTTAATGATACTGTGGACGCAATTGAAACGGTGTTAAAACAATAAAATCTAAGTTGGACACAGCTAGATTTTAGTTGAATTCATTTAAATATGAGTTGGCAACAACTAAATTTATAGAGTTTAAAATTTTTTTTTTTTTTTTCAAAATTTGGATTGAGAATAATTTACCTTATCCTGGCAGGTTAAAAAGGTCAATCGTTCGAGGGTACCTACGTTCCTTCTCCTAACCTCCCCTAAATTTGGATATGATGACCGAATAATTTAATTGATTTTCATTCTATATTTATATTAGATTTTTTTTTCTTTTCCGCTAACACTTTATTATCTGTATTTTAATGTCAACAAAAGACACGTAGGCGAAAATATTAGTGTATAGATAGAACCCACTCGAGACGAATTTCAGACTTGATCGTCTATTTATCAGACATCAATGACACACCAATTCGAAATCCGTCTATGTAAGTATTACATAGATTGCAATTTACGAAATATATTAGAAATGCTCTTAGAGATAAAAAGCGAGTTAAACACGTTTTGTACGGATTTGGACAAAACAACTTTTGCACAAGTCGACAAAAATACCTAATCAAGCCGAGCCATCTCCTCGTGACATTAATTATACGATATTGAACGTTTACTATAAATATTTTTTAAATTTACGAAAACAACAAAAAGATTTAAGTCTAACGTAAATATTGCGGAAAGTAGTCACTTTGATCTTAGAGAGATAGTTGACAACCTTGGCAGTTACCTTCGAGATTCGATTCCCTCACCCAATTATTTCATAAGAACAAGTTCGGCCCTCGCCAACCTGTTGGCATTCTAAATGCTCCGTCACGAAGTAAGCTCTTTTGAATTATGATTCAGTGGAACCTCAACAATTAATTACTAAATTATAAATTAACCAAAAAGTACATTATCATATTCGTGTATATGCAAGTTTTTATTCTTTAACTTCGTACATGATGCTCGAGAGGTGGAAGTGGGACGACTAGGATGAAGATCAAAATATCCTCATTTTCGGTCGTATTTAGGATGGAATTGGTCGGACTTCGAAGTTTATTCTTATCTTCGTACATGAGAATGGTTGGAATGAAAGGATTTTCGAGGGGCGGAACATCTTAATGGGATAGTTGACGTAGATTAAAATATCTTAATTTCCCGTCCTTTGTGTGTCCCTATTCTTACACAAAACAGGGTGAGGTAAATGTTAAGAATTGGAGTTCCATCTTAAAAGGTCAATCTTATTAAGAGTAGTAACTCAAAATCTTTATTAATTGGTCTGTGTCAACATTAATTATCAATGTGGAATAAATATCCCTTAACACGTCACATTCAGATATTGTCCTAATTAAATTCATTNCCATATCGATAAATGATGTTGGCACAGACCAATTAATAAAGATTTTGGATTACTTCTGTTAATAAGGTGGACCTTTTAAGAGGAGTAACCCAAAATCTTTATTAATTGGTCTGTGTCAACATCATTTATCGATGTGTGATATATATATCCCTTAACAATAAATAGTAAGAGTAATGTTATTCATCTTCAGTGTGATGAAAATACAGTTTATGTGATTTTAAATGATAAGTTAAATGAAATATGAAATTAAATGACTATGATAGATTAAATGAAATGTGAAATTCACCCGTCATTTAATGTCACATTACTACCTAGTGGCTTATATCTTCATCCCAGTGGAAATGAATAGGCTTACTCAGATAGTAAATACCGCTGTTGGTAGGAAATATTTTCCATCTGTATAGAACGCACAAAGGCACCGAGCGGGCCTGGAAAACAGAAACTGCACATACTTCTCACTCTCCAAGAAGTAAGAACACATACACACATTTCGATTTCCCAATTCTAAGCTCCCTAATGTTCAATAGTTTCGAGAATCAGTGATTAAATCCTTGTGAGAAGTAAAAGATTTTTCGATCCTGCAACTGTTTATTCTTAATCGCCACGCATGAGAATTTCGGTTGATAACTTCACCTGCATTGAGTTGTAAAGAGTTTGTATTCGTTACTTTTTTGGTGTTTTTGTAGGTAAGAATGGGGCATCCGAAGCTGAAGTGGACGTCGGAGGAAGAGGAAGCCATAAAGGCAGCAGTGGCGAAGTTCGGCACTGGCCAATGGAAGAACATTCTTAAGGACCCGGAGTTCGCGCCACGTCTCGCTAATCGTTCCAACGTTCAGCTCAAGGTTTTCTCATTTTTTATACCTCATGCGATCGCTGTATAATTTCTGTTGTTCAGTTGTGCTGTATATATCATTGATACCTCTATCTTTTTGATTTCCTGCTTTTGAAATTTATTAATCTCTCTCATTTATGTATTTGTGTATATAGGGGCAGAGCCGGAGGGAGATTAAAAAAAAAGAAATTACTTTTCTATGTAGAATTTTTTTTTGGGCAGGGGGTTATAGCACAGGGGAACCCCCAAATCAGCCCTTACATATGTTTATGTCTTTGTATATGTGCATATATGTATGAATAAATGTTTCTGAATTGGGGAACTGCCATTGCTTATTCACAAGTGCATGTTTCCACCAGATACAAGGGCTTGCTTCTAAATTCTAATTTGGAGCACCATTTTTGAAGTTCACTTGTTTAAATTTACACAGGATCACACGCACCTGCACACCCATGCACACACAACGTAAATGTGTGTGATTGTGCTATCTTGAAGGCTCCAGTCAAGAATTGAGAGAAGGTGATGTGGAGGGATGACATTTAATGTAATAAAGAAGGTTCTAGTACATTAATACTGAAGCAGGCCTTTCGTAACAAATAGTACAGAAATAAATATAGTTGGAGTAACAGAATTAAAACTTGTGTGCATGTGAGTGTACGTTTGAATTGAATTCACAAGTTCGTGTTTCCACCAGACACACTGGCTTGCTTCTAAATTCTAATTCGGAGAACACTTTTTGAAGTTTTTGTTTGAAGCATACATATTACATGCGCCCCCCTACATAAAGGAAATGCACGTGATTTTATGTTATTGAAGGCACCACTCAGGAAGTGGAGAAGGTGATGTTGAAGAATGACGAGGACTAAATGAAATATAGAAGGTTTTTTTGAGTACATCATACTGAAGCAGGACTTTAGTAACAAATAGTGTCGGAATAAATGCTGTTGGGGTCACTAAAATAGAAAAGAGCTCATGCTTTTATATAAAAAGATATTCTTCTACACTGAAATTTGAATTTTGAGCTGACAGTTGATATGGTACCTATTTTAGTCTCGTGCTTTGATATCCTGGAACATTTTATAGTAATCAGCATATTATAAAAAAATGCTCTGCTTTGAGAATTCAAGAACAATACTTTGGTATTTAATTTATTATTTTTAAATATAATTGTTTTTAGCCTACAGTAGTAGAATAAAAAACAATAGTAAGTAATAGTTTGGGGTAAATAGAAGGCATAATGTATTCATATTTTTAAATAGGTGCAATAATCTATTTAGAAAATTTTCTTCAAAATATTTTATAAGTAATTCGGCGTTCTATTGTATTTAATAAGGTTCCCTTCCATCATAAGGAAAGGCTAACAACTTAAACTGAAACAAGCTAAAGCGTATATTGTTATAAGCCCTTAGAACATCTGATATCCCACCTAGTCATATGTTACTTTATCCATCACTCACCATGTGAATCTCCGTTGTGAACTTTTAAGGTTTAGAAGACAGTGTTTGGCTGTTTTCTTTAATACTATATGATTTAAATTGTCTGAAGATCTGATATCTGAGTCAGTTTATTGGTCACTTTTCTAATTAAGGAAACCTGTATCGTGGTGCATTACATAGATTGTATAATAACTTTGGTCAAGGCTGTTTCTCATGTCTCAGTGGACTCAAGTCAAATAGTTAAAAGACCACCTGGATCTTTGTGGGATTTCTCTGCCTGTGTAAGGTTCTTTGTGCGTTTGTTTCTGGTGTTTATTAGTCTCCTTTTGATTCATCTAAGCAGGACAAATGGCGGAGCATGCGTATTAGATCTACAGTAAACAAAATTACACCTGGTGCTGCCTCCACTGCCAAAGCTCAAAATGCTGCTGCTGCTTCTTTAATTCCTGTGGGTTATGCTGTTGATGATCCCTCTAAAAGATCACAGGATGTTGAAAATGCTACAATGTATGCTTTCCCTAGCCTTCTCTTTTTATCTTCATTGCCTCTAAGGAAATTCTGGACCATTTTATCATTCTTGTACTATTCTTTTGCCCCTTTAAAGCTATTCTTGGGCACTTCTTCTAACCATTTTATCATCTCTTGGTACATTGTAGGATATTAACCGTGGTTTTCTACCCAGTTATAATGAATCAAATTGATTTCTAGATTAGATTATGACCATTGGGTGTGAAACCGCTATGCATTATGGTGCACGCTCTTTGTTTCCAGTCATGCCTGCAATATTTATGTTTTATAGGTTTCCTTACATAAGCAAGCAGCGTTCGCATTTTTAATGTTCTTACACGAGCAATTGGCATTCTTATGATGAATGGAAAAGTTGTTCAGCATAGTACTCTGGTGTCAATTTATTTATTTTTTCGTGCATTGATACCGAGTTCTTTCTTGATTTTCATTTCATTAATGATTTGTAATAATCGCGTGCATGCGTGTTTACATGATTTGTTCAAACCATGGACTTGTTGTCTTTTGACTTTCCAGAGAACTTGCTATATATACATATAATTTCCAGCTAATGCATGTAATGTTTTTTGCTCCATATCAGGTACAAGAAAATGATTTTTGAAGCAATTTCATCCATCAAGGACCCCAATGGATCCAACAGTGGTGCTATTTTGGGCTTCATTGAGGTTAGACAGATATTCTTATGTTCCTCTATTATTCTACCTTGGCTGTTATGCTTGGCCGTTTGATCAGTTTGAGTGTAATCATGTATCAATCTGTAAGGGAGTTATAGCAAATTAAAGTTTGAGGTAGAGTTTATGAAGTGAACTGATTTGAAGGCACTGAAAATTCACTTTGAAAATCAAAAGTACCTTTGCCAGTGTTCTGGAGCTCCTACTTCATCCCAACTTCTATGTAGATTAGTTGATGGATCTATTGAATTAGGTTAGACCCTCTGTTTCAGTTTACTCTTTTCAAATCAAGTTTGAATTTTTATCTAAAAAAATTATTTGTAATTTCGATATGCGACTTTAGAAGATTGGATGCATTTTACTTTAAATGAAATCTAAAATGACTTGTGAGTAAACTGATTGGATGTGTTTTACTTAAACTGAAATCTCAAATGACTTGTGGGTAAACCGTGTACATCATGTTGACTTTTTGGACTGCGCCATATTCCAGTTGAGCCACTTGACAAATGCATTTGATTTTTGGTATCTTAGTGTCTATCGTTGGAAGAGAAACTTCTGTTGGAAGTGCCAAGTTTATTTGTATGCCAAATCTGAGAAAATGCATTTTCAGTTAACCTCAAATATTTTATGTTTGACAGGGGAAGTATAAGGTGCCCCAGAATTTTAGAAAGTTATTGGTTTCAATTCTGAGGAGACTTGTTTTGCAAGGAAAACTTGATAAGGTGATTTTTCATGATCTTTCAATAATTCCATCCCTCTTTATTTGATTATCTGATACTATGTTTGGAATGTGGCTTTGAAGTTCATGATTTAAACGGTGGATTAGTTCTTTAAGAGATTGGTATCTTTTCTATCAGGTCTATTCGTAGTGGCATCCTTTTTCTTCCCATTTGCATAAAATTTCATTATTTTTTTGCCCCTTTTCATGGCATTAAGATTGGCACATACCTGCATAATATGAAATTCACCAATTTAAATTTGCATAAAGTTAAATTTGAAGTTTGGAGGACAACTGAAGGGAAAGTCTACTTGATTGTTGGAGCATGTCTTGCTTAGAGCTAAACTGCTAAAGAAGCTCTCATTCCCAATTTTAATGTAATCTTAGTAGAACATGTCAGAAAACGGACATGTGCGTAAAAATTGACTAGATATGTTGCAGCTGCAAAAGCTATGCTTGCATTGGTTCTGTCCAGTAGATATAGCAGTAGATAGATCTTGGTAAAAGAAACCCAAATTTCTTAAGGCTGATTCTTGTTTATCTCTCGTGAATTTAATCCAGTCTAGAAATTTAGCATCACTTTTGATTCGTGTATTGCCCCTAGACAGCAGATAATGCTAAAATATGATTAATGTATCTGACAACAAACAGATGGGAGTAGAAGTTTATTGAGTTGAATTTGCCAAAATTTGTCACAATTTTCTACCTCTTACTCCTTTGGCCACTTGGATTGTTGTATTACCGATAACTTTGCAATTTGTTTGTTGGACATGCGGTGATGTGCAGGTTCAGGACCGCTACAAAATTAAGGATGCTGCTTTGGGCACTAAAACACCTATGCCGAAACAAAGAGAAGTCCGACCAAGTCCATCACAGAATTCGCCATCAATCATCTCTGAAAAAATCAAAGATGCAGCTGCAATAGCTGCCCGCAAGATTGCCGAGGCACAAAATAAATCCCTTGTGGCAGCTGAAGCAGTTAGAGAGGCTGAAAGGCTCACAGAAATGGCTGAAGATGCAAATACATTTCTATTGTACTTTAAAGAGATTCTTGAACAATGTAAGCGCGTCACTATAATTTGACGTTATTTTGCAATATTTTTCATCATTATTGTATGTCTTAGACCGTGAAAGATTTATTCATTTATATAGTTTTGTTCTTTGTTCTGTATTTTCTTTATAGGTTCACAGGGCGAAACTTTTATCTTTCCTTAGGCTGTCTGAAGTTCGATATAAGGCTAAAGCCGATCCAGAAAGGGAACTCGGCGTTTATGTTTTAGCAGATGTTGATACAGGCTTATGCTTCTCGACTGGTAAATCTTCAAAATTAGTTGCACAGAGAGTTGAGGGATGCTTGGAAGGTAGGCTATACCTCTTGAACAGTATGTGGGGTTTTAAGAAACGTTTTTAACTGAGACAGATTATAAATATTAGTTTTTATCAAAACACATTCTATCTATACATGCCTTCCATGCCCAGATTGAAATGCGAGATCTGTGTAAAACTCATGTTTTCGAAGGTTCAAAACTGCTGTACAAATTAGAGATTGACTACAATTTGTCTCAAAATTGTTCATGGCTAGTAACAATTGATATGGAACAATAACCTGAAATTTCAATGCACATCAACAATGGAGATAGACCATGTCAAGTACAAACACAATGTAGCTAATAATATTTTTATTTTATCTCAGCTGAACGCACGGCAACTCTCAAGTCTTAACATAAAACAAATAATTTTCCCATGGAACTCGGGCCAAATGTTCAGTGACAAAATTTATCACTCGTTGTACACTAAGTTTAACTCGGACCATGGAAGAAAACAAAGTACAATGGAGGATTTGTATCAACCATGAAATGAGAAAAATTAGTTCAAGTTAGAAAATTCTTTGCCCTGGAGTACTGCAGAATTGATTCCCAATCACAATTTATAAGAGCACGAGCCCGAGTTCTGATGATCTCAAAACATGCTTTAGGCGATAGTTGTAGAGATAGTAGTGGAGTTTTCCGTCTCCTGGACCAAACTTAAGCTCCTTCAAGAAAGTCTCGTTATGCATAACATCCAAAGCATTGAAAACATCAAAATCATTCTTCTTCGCCACAATAAGAGCATCATTCATCAACTGAAGCAATGGAGTCTTTGTCGACACATTGTAATAAGAATAAGCAGCCTTTAAAGTAGAATGGTTTTGGTTACCGAGTATAGAAGACGGGAGGGTGTAAAAACTGCAGAAGTCTGTGATTTCATGAGTATCGGGGCTTTCTACCAAATAACTATCCACAACATTCTCTTTTGGGAGCAGCCAGTGCTCTACATCATCCTCATCAAAATCGGGTGCAACAACAAACAACTTCAAGTAATTTCTAAGCAAACGAGTAACTGCAGGAACATCATGGGGTTCCATCTTTCGAAACCCAGGAGTTGCAGTTTGATCTGGTAACTTGTACAACTTTATGGTCCGGCTCATTGTCATCCTTGCACCAAGCCTAGAAAATCCAACATCGATGAGTTTCTTAGGATTTAATGATCTATGCCAATATTGACAAGTAGTTATAGGCGTAGGAAGAACGACCCCAGCAGTATAAGCTGCTTGCCAGATATTCTCCAAATGAACCCTCCGGGTGACCTCTTTAATCATGACTGGAGCAAGTCTTTTCGACCTGAGTTTCTTATGGACACACAGAAAATTTACCTCTGCCATGACAACAACAGTGTCACGGACCCTGATTTTTGCAGGGACCCCAGTAATGAAAGCAACCAATTTTTTTGAACTCTTGACCCTCACTCCAATGTGCCAACTCCTATAATAACCCGGAGGGCGAAGTGCCCAAAGAAGAAACTCCTTCGAATAATTGAATCTGAACATGCTCTCATCATCCTCAACATAATTATTGGTCAAGAGAGCATACACCTCGTTAGACATCTCGTCTGAGTCCATATCACAAGTAATCCACTCATAAGGAGTCGGAAGATTATAAGGCTCTTGTTTGACTTCAGACAGGGGTGTCGGTTGCTCAATTGGGCCTTCAGGTAGACTTGAATCACCAAGATCCTTGAACTGGCCAACGGGTTGGGTTTCCCAAAACTTGTGCTTTTTCGCATGGGAGAGAGACTCTTGGACCTTCCGTGCTAAAGCATCGATTGATACTTCGTTTTCATTCTCAGAAGGTACATTAGCATCAACAGAGGAATCATGGTTCTCAGGTGGTGCATTGTTATCCGCCATTTTCAATAGCTTGATCTGATATTCAATCACAAATTGAAAACCCAAAAAAATAATAGATGTAATATACAAAAACACATAAAACATGAACATATAATAGGATTCAAAAATCACATATAAACCAAATTAACTAATAGTTGCGAGTGCAAGAACCCATTTCACACCCTTGGCATTAACAATGTATTTAGGTACTAAACAATCAAGGCAAAATGTTTTAACCCCACTTTGATAAATAGCTGCTACTCAAATCTTTACAAACCAATCACACTATACGATTTCCCAGTCCTCAAGCTCAGATTTGACTAGGTGAATACCTCCTATAGGAACTTGAGACTCGAGTTAGTCCCTTTCCATTAGCAACACAGTTGGAAAAAAAACCAACCGNGCAACACAGTTGGAAAAAAAAACCAACCGATTCAAAATTCTTAAACCAGTAGCTACAAAATTTTAGAAAACTAGCTGCATGATCCTCCCACAACCGATATGGGATTGATCAAAAGTATGAGACTTCAAATGCTTGCTCTCATTTGCATATTTGTTAAGAAGGGATAACGGATTTACATGCCTGTATGATATCCACTTCGGTTAGCTAGTGGCAGATTTATTAGGTACCGGACTATAACATAAAGCGAGTCAGTATGCTAATTCCTCATCTGCAAATCAGCCCTTCTTGTAGGGTATTTTCTCAACCAATAAGTAACTGTAGGAATTAAATCTTGATATAATTTGAAAAAGCATACAACAGGTCCAAAGCAATAAAATATGAAAACTGTGTATTTTTCATATTTCTAAGATTAAAAAAAAGGTTTAAAGTTACTTCTATGACATAATTTACATTCTTAGAAAAGCCCAGATCAAAAACTAGAAAAAGCATTACAAAATTACCATCATTTTCTGTGTAATTCATAATACTCATTTCTGGGTCAATCCTAATCTAAAAACAGAATAACGCCAGCTAAATAATGGGTTAATTACCAAAAACTAAAAACACATACTTAAGATCTGAAGCTATTAAAGTAAGAACAGAAATACAAAATTAATTTTGAATTCAGAAACCGTACCTTTTATTGAAGAATTGAGAGATCTAGAAATTTACCCAGTAAAAGAAATACAGAGAGACTGAGAGAGGAATTTTAGCTTTAAAGCAAAGAGTGTTTCATCAATCAATTATCCCTAAGGGTGGGGTGGGGCCCTTAAATAAATAAATTTCGAAGTAGAAGTTTTGTTTAAAGACCGTTAAAGTTGACTAAATCGTCAGGGGTATTTTGGACATTTTCTTTCCAAAAGTTGGAATTCTTGGACATGCTAAGGCCTTGTTTGCGAATGATTAGATTTTTCAACAGTAAATCATGAGAAGGCTATCAAAATGTACGTGTAAAAAGACTGTGGGGGTGTTTGTTTTTTATTTGAGAATTGATTCTCATTTTCAATCACACATTCTTCAATAAAATAATATTTTCCATCACATCAATAATTTTTTCTTTTTTTTCAATCACATATTTTCCATCATATTACTATTCAAAATCAATTCTTCCCCTAAAAATCTTTCCCAAACAAACTCTAAATCAATCGAGCTTTGCTGCTTGTACAACAATAGAAGCCACATAATTTCATCAGAAAAACAAATGTGGGCCCCGAGTAATTTTTATTCTTTTTAATACACGATGGGGTCCACTCATTGTGAGTTTTCTGGTGAAATTATGTGGGAATATATCTATACACGGATGAAAATGCAAATCAATAACATTGGAACATATGCTAAATATTTTGAGGAATAATTGAAGAAGTTATCGTTAGGGTTAAATTTGTCCAAAACGGATATGTAACTCTTTATTTTTTAACATTTAAGTTTTTTTGGTAATACTTTATTTTTGATAAGACTGTTTTTGTACAACAATTAACATAAAAAAATAATTAAAAAAAGAAAGAAAGAAAGAAAGTTTTCTACTTTTTTTTTTCTCTTTTTCTATCTTCCCTTTTTAATATTCTATTATAATAATTAGTATTTTACTCATTTGTAAGAAAGTTTTCTATTTTATTATTTACAAGATTGTCGAATATTTAACCTAACGCGTCGTGCATGATGAGATAACGAATACGATATAAACAATTCTTTTTTTAAAATAAAATAAAATGGTACATACTAAAATAATTGCATCATAATAATTTAATTAAATAGATTTTACAGTATACGAGATAATATTATTATTTTTTAAAAAATATGAGATATATAATAAACTATTAATATTTAAATAAATAAATATGCTGTTGTAGTTTTACAAGTCATAAGACAAAAACATTTTTATGGTTTTGATGTCACACAATTAATTTAATAGTGACGATGCTTCTTCAATTCAACTTATGAATAAGAGCTATTATTACTGAAAAAGTTCCAACTGCTCAAAACTTTAGATGTAAAAGCTTTACTTACAAGTTACAACAAGTGTGCTGAACAAATCCTAAGTAAGCATATCATATGAAATACAGTTTTGTTACACTTATAATATAGTTGACAATTTTATTTGCACTCTGTGATGTGGCATACGGTTTTGCTATTGATTTTAACAACACTTAAAATAATCGACGATCTTGATTTTTACACATCATGAAATGTCATCCATGATGTACAAGTGATTTAATTCTAAGAAATACTTTACTTAGAGCTTGTTTGATAGCAATTAAAATCCAATTAAAATTGAAAATATAACCGTTATTGGGTTCCACTGGTCTAATAAAAGTCAACAATAACGGCTAATTTTTTTAATTTTGATCCGATTTTAATTTCTACCAAACATGCTCTTAATAAAGCTTATAGTGAGTCAATAAAATTATGACGCGTGGCTATGTTGTTG